TTTTACTGGGGAACCTAGAACTGGACCCAGCACTCCAGATGTGGCCTCAGCAGTGCTGAGGAGAGGGGAAGGATCACCTTCTCTGATCTTCTGGCAGCGCTGTTCCTAATGCATTTCCTAATGCTGTTCCAGGATGCCATTGGCCTTCTTTTAGAAATAGTTGTCTGATAGCACTCACAAAACACAAACTTTAATCAATGATAATTATGTATTTTACAATTAGCATTTGATCCAGAACAGTAGAAGCTGAAGTTTTCTAATTTTACTAAGGTATTTCTATTTCTTTTGATTTATATTCTGCTCCCATTTTTATATAGCCTAGTACCCTGTTTGTTTTTGTTAATATGTTGCATCTTTTTGCTATCATTTACTATTGCTACTAAATCACTTTCTTAATTTGTTTCTTGTATTTCTGCTCCATCAAGCACATACTTTTATAATTTGTTTGTTCAACTCAAGCGCTTGAGTTTATATTTCGAGATACTGACTTCCATTTAGGACTCATTTTCTCCATTTCTCAATCAGTTTAAAATAGTTTGAAATTTATTGATTTCTTCAGCAATAGCATTCTCTGTATGGTATTGTCAGAAGATTGTAGATACCCAACAAAATCCTGCTGTCACTTTAGAATTACACATTCATTTAGTCCCAGTACTAAATTGAGGCTGGTCTCGTCGCATTAGCTCTACTTCTTCTTGAGATAGTAAACCAAAATCTGCTATACTTTTCTTCGGTTTGAGTCACGTCTTAAAACCTTGATAAATATTTTTCCTGACCTTTCTGATAAAATTCAGGAATAGCAACATACATGCTTTCAGGTTTATAACTATCTTTTTAGGGAACGTCCATGTTTGTATCATAAATTCTAATTCCTGTATATCAGCATGAACATTTCCTTTCCTGTTGTAATATATTCTAATGTTTTCCCTTGTATTTTTGTGAAAAATAAAATGGTAGGCATAAACAAGGCAAAGACAGGAAGGAGAATAAGAGAAAAGCTTCTGCTTGTCTCAGCAAAACGTAACAAAGAAATAGCCTGTGTCTTCTGCAACAATAACTGCTTCCTATCTCTCACTTATTAGGAAAAAAAACCTCTAAAACACATATTCACCCTGTTTTCAAAAAAAACCTGTTTCTTCTCTGAGACCTCATTCCTGGAATGCAAGTTTTGGTTACTGGAGCCTTGATCCAGTACTATGAATCTACGGATGATTTTCAGAGAAACCTATATACCAATAACATTATTTTCATTGTAGTCCATTTCAATAATAGCAACATCTATTGATTTCACAATTATTTTTCCTATTTGCCTAGTGCATATACAGCTGAACTGCAAGAAGAGCACATATCAACCACAAATGATGATGACATTTAATAGCTGTACTCATTTCAAAGCTGCAAAATCTATCATCTTCAGTGATCTCCTCCACCTCCATCTATTTCTCACTTCTGGCACTCACAAATAATGGAAAATGCATCATTGATAGCAGAACCCTAGAATACAGAAAACCAGCATACAAAAAAAACTTGATGCTGTTGTCCCTCCTACTTGATTTAAGGCTAGGTTTTGGTATTGTTATTTATCTTAAACAATATTCTTCAAAGGAGCAGTCAAGCCTCCTTTCACAAATCTGGCATTTCAACCCCAGCTATTTATTACAGATCATTAGTTGTGACGCTGTAACTGACTAAAACAGTGCTAATCCAGTGCAACGTCATTTTTGAAAGATGTATTTGTCCTCCAAGAGGCTAAAATGCTAAAACTAAAAGAAAGGGTGTGGGGGGCCAAATTCTAATTTGGTTTTTCAGAGATTTATTTTTTAAGGGATTGCCATTTTGTCATAGTCATAGGGAGGGTGTAATGGCAGAACATGCATCTCTTCCCATTTCTGAAGGTGTTAGAAAACCTACCCTTTATCTAGACCATATAATTCCATGGATAACTGGTTTGCACATCCATTCGGGAAGTGAAATGGATGAGGATGAATATCTATCTTATCTTAGATCTAAAATGGAAAAGCTAAATCTACTTCCAGGTTAAACATTATTTTGAATAGTTCAATTGTCTCACATTCCTTCTGGTAAAACTTCATCACTTATTCAGTAACTCAGGCATGTCTACTGCATTAATTGTGTAGACTGTAACCTAACAGACAGCCCTTGTTTTGTGAGTATAATATTCCTGGCACATACTGTAATTACCTAGCTTCTAAATAAGAAAGGAGGAAGATCTGAAAGCAGAATCAATTGATTAATGCAAAAATTAAACACCACATTTGAATGAATGAATTTTACCACTGCTACCCCACACTATATAAGAAGTGTGCTGCCACCACATTTAAAAGTTTTCTAAAGTATTTTAAATAAAATTAAAAAATCTTTTGGCAGAACTTTACAATTTCAAAGGACATCATCAATAGTAATTACTTCACAATCCCAAGAGACCGATAAGCAAATGTTACTGCTTATCTTCTGGTTGTTTCATCCTTAGCACATACCTAACATGGACTTGTATCATTCTTAGCTGACAATCAGCAAACAGGCTGTGCATCAATTTCACAGCGCAGAAGACAATGAGGGAGCATTTTCTCTGAGAGTAATAGATTATGTCTTTTCCTAAAGTAAATTAAACAAAGTAGGGCTTTTGTTTGTCCTAAATAAATTAGGATTCTAATATCACACTAGCAGAGAACTTATACAGAAAATAAAAAATGAGGAGCCAAGGCAATGAAGTAAATCTAATTTAATCAATGTAACCAAGATCAGAATCTGATCTTAGACCTTGAGATGAACTTCTCTCAGTGAAAAGGGTCTGTAAACTAGCACAGCAAACTTTACTACAGTACAGCGTGTTCTACATTTCTTAAAGTGTAGTTTAAAATTTCCTTTTGTTGGAATACATGTATATATTATGAATTCAGGGTGAACATGTCTGGAAGAAGAGGCATTTCTCCGTCTCTAATACATGCAGACACAGACACACAGACACAGAGACACACAGGCGCGCGCGCACACACACACACACACACACACACACACACACACACACACACACACACGTTGGTCAAACTGTTTCCATATTCATGGCATGATATTTACATTTTCCAAAGGAACAACCAAACAAAGCTCAGTTTTATGCTACTATTCTAATACTAGATTGTGACTAGGCTATTTCTGCCTAAGCTATACCTTTTTCTATGATCAAAGCCATTTAGATATCAAATACACATCTTCTTGTGTAGAAAACAAAGTCTACCTGCACTGCGGTAGCTAAAGATGTGTATTATCTATATAGTAGGGTTAATTAATTTATTCTCTATTATAGTATATAAAAGAAAAAACATGGTAGCCACCTCCTCTCTCAACTCAAGTAGAGATAGCATTCTGCTTTAATGCATCAGTTTAGCTATTTAATAAGAAACAGAATATATGCTTTTCTTCCTTTTTGTCAGTCTGTGTACATGACCCACAATATCCACATTGATTCCTGAACCTATATTAAAGGTAGGCAACTTTAGCTTTCTTGTTATGCTTTTCTTTTAACTGACAGGTTTGGAAAGACTCAATATAATCTCATCACCTCGTACACCTGGGGCTCCTAAAAACTCTGGCTTAGATTTCTCTTGTCCTATTGAATATTAATCTAAATCAAAAAAGTGGGTGATGTGTAAAGTTCAGATGTCTACTTTTAGCAGGACTAATGACTTACAGGAGTCCTAAACACTGATATTCCCCTTGAGAACTCTTTTTCTATAAAGGGCTTTTCTCCCAGGTCAGCTGCGGTTTTCTGCTTTTCAAACTCTGTATATTTAACAAACAGTTTCTTTCCTATCCTGCAATGAACTGTGAGCCTGGTTTGTTAGACAGTGTTAAGTAAATTAAGCCCTCTGTGTCTTTGCAGTCTATGGAAATGTTTGGAGAAGAACTGCAGTGTCTCAGGAGCTGCGGTTATTGAGATTCCTTTTGCTAAGAAGATCTCTTTTATTAACTGCTTCCATGCCAAATGTAAAATTAGCAAAGAGATGTTTGTAAATGCTGCTTATGAGCTTGTCTCTGAGAGACAAAAGAAAGTTTTATCCATGCAAGCACTGTTGTTGTGAATATCTCCACCCATTCAGGGAAAACCAAATTGCACACTGTAATTTTCTTTGCAGACCACATCCTTCTGGTCCAAAGGAAACTCCCTGTACAGTGCAGTCTCCATACGTTTGATTTTCTAACAGATTTTAATGTTAAGCTACCAATATTTTGCAACAAAATGTAAACAATACTTTTACAGGTAATAGCTACTGGTGCCACAGGGACTGTCAGACAAACCTGAAAGAATGGAAAAGTCTATGCTCTTGAATGGGAGAGGAGAGTAATGAGAAAATCTGTATATTAGAATTAATCTTCATTGTAGAGAAGTTTGAGAATGCCTGGCTGAGACTGTGGGGAAAGAGACAGCAAGAGCATGGAGAATAATAGGAACAGTGGGGAAAGAACTGCAAAAACAGCAAGGAGAGTCTGTGGAGGGATATGGACCAATGATTACACAAGAACGGCCATACTGGGTCAGGCAGAGGGTCCAACGCATCCCATATTCTGTCTCCATTGACGGTACAAGTGGATGCCCAGAGGAAAATGAGAACAGGATAACCATATGATACTTAGTGAGCATCAACTTTCTAAATCACATGTTTAAATAAGGAAAATGATGACTAATGACAACATCACAATCTAGAAATTTGACTAATACAGCTCTTACTCAAGATATATTTTGTAAAACCTCAGGCATTGCTACCACAACTGCCAGTGATGAATGAAATCTAATGGTATCGCAGGAGAGCAGGATATTGGACTGCCAATTACAAAACTAGCAAACTTAAATTCTGAATATGCAAATATATCAATGGGGGTTTTCTCACATAAGTCAAATTGACCATTGGGACTGAAGTTGAACAACATATTATCTAAATAACAGTTCTCTGAAATCATAATTTATTTATTTTTGGACATAGGCTTAAGAAAGAATTGGAAAATTACAAAGATGATCACTGGGAAAATGTCTGCGAGACTTTTCGAACAGAAATTGAAATTCTGCAAATGGTATGCCATTTTCACTACATATTTAAATGTTTGATAATTTTAGTTTGAAAGGTATCATTTATAATGATTAGTAAAGCTTTTAGATAAGCAATTTTATACTATGTACGCAGCTAAACATCCTAACATGGAAGTGCACCCCCGATTTTCATTTGTTTTATCTTCTTTGGTCCAAATGTCCTGGAATATCATTTCTTATAGAAAAGAGAAGTACAGAAAACAATTTAAAGACACGTTTTTAGCACAATAAAGGCTTAATTGTAGGACTAGCACTAATCATTAGTTTCTTCAAAGCTGCAAAAGATTATGCTGTCAGGAGCTTAATTAATCTTTAACTCCAGCTGTCAGTCAACTGCAAAATGGGAATGTGGAGGCATCCTTTTAATGTAAACATTGTATTTTGTCCATTCACAAACTCTTTATGAAAAGTTATTAAACTGTATTTTTCTCTAAATATCAATCTTAACTTCAAATTTCTTGTTAGTCTGTGTAACAATACAAACAGAAAAAACATTCTGAAGTTCCATTTTCGAAATTAAGGGTTTTGAAATGTTCGTTCCAGAGCCCCTGACTGAGTCGCATGCAATGCAGCTGCCACTAGCATCAGTAACAGAGCAGAAGTCAAGGAAAATTTGCGTTATTGACTTTTATCATCAGTTTAAAATTTCTGCTGGAGGGAATGCATCTTTCTTGTAATTCATCTATTAATTTTATTGTGCTTGTCATTTTCAGAAACAAAAAACAACTTAAAGTTTAAAAACTTCTCTGTAAAGAATACAGTGAACTCATTAGATTTGGTTTTCTATAACTCAATTCCTTTTGTTTTCCAGAAACTATCACAAAAAAAGTCTTCAGGCAACTGAATAATATGTGACATATCATACAGAATGTCATAGAAGCTAGTCTTTGTGTATTTTAAAGACATTTTATTCAGCCTATGTAAGGATTGGTTCTATTATCTGTTAGTTAAACCAGAGTTTGTCTCACTTCACTTTTCATTAAAATTAAATTTTATTGCTTTAAAAGTTTGTTTTGTTTTGTTTTAAAAGTACCTTGTTTTTTATCATCAAGTTCAACAGATATCCATCCTAAGTTTCCTCTTTTTTCCCCATGAATGGACAGTACACAGTCCAGTACACATATAGCAGAGTTATTGTAGTAACAGCTCCATTTTTTATGTACCTTTTTTTTAGAATAAGCACTCTCCTTCTGTTTTTAAGGTAGTGATGTTGTCGCATTTGAGAGAAAAACTGATATTACCATCAAGAATTTCTTAAAAGGAGCTGTGGCTATTTATAGCTTGACAATGCAATTCTGTAACAAACTGTCTGAAACAATTCACAGTTCATCTCTAGTAATACTGGATGACATTCCAGAATTATTCCCAAACCTACAGATTAATAGATGATCCCAGTAATGGTAAGCCTCTCCACTCTATTACCTAGTACCTGTTTTCTGATTATACCAAAACTCTTCTCTTCCTCTCCCACAACCCACAAAATAAAGAGTGCTAGCTTCAGCACTTGCCAGTAATTGCTAACCCCTATTCTAAATGGCAAGGTTGAATTTCTAGGGAATTGGTGAAGAATTTCCATGGAGTAAGGAACCCTCTTCATTTGCACCTCAGATTCTATATACTATTCTATAACTTTCTCAGATTCCAGCCCCATAATAGCAGCTGACTTTTTAATTCAGATGCTTACAGTAAGGCCACATAAAAACATTCATTGAGCTCAACCTCAGCCCAGTCTGCAGCCATCATCTCATCATGTGCAACTAACTGTGCATGTAAATAATTTTCAGCTGGATGGCTTCCCACTTGGGAGGATGGCTAATTCTTCTTTACTACTTATTCTACAGCTAGAGCCCTCCAAGCTACACGGGGTATCTGTCTCACAGAAAACCATAACACAGGTGTTATTAAGAGGGTAGAAATCAATCTTTTTTGGAAATTGACCAAATTCTGCCTGAGACAGTTTTCTCGTTTTGGGACACAGCAGCAATTTGAAGTCTGGCAAGATTTGATCTGCAGCACTGGTTTCAAAGAAGATTCTGATCTGCTGCGTTAACTAAGATAATTCCAAGAGGTCAGAATTATCATCCCTAATAACCAGTCCTGTTGGAGCTGACTTCCTTATAAATTTTATTCTCTCTCTCCTGAGAGAGATTCTCTTAGGATGTGCTTAATTTTAAATAACTTAGTCTCTCTGACTTCTATGGGACGACCTAGCTGCTTTAATGTTAAGCAGTTGCTTGTGCCCTTTGATCAAATCCAGGGCATATGAAAAGTAGTAAAAGTCGCATGTCTGAATGTCTACAGGCAGCTAAAATAGTCCCATTTCCAGGTTTAGAGGCAGGAAAAAGGTGTACTTTGGGATTTCCTAGGAGGGCTGTTTGTCCTGGTCATTTTTTTCATGTAAGTAACCTTGCTGATGTTATGTCTATTGATTAATCAACCAGGAACAAAAAAAAACTTATTTTTGAATTTCAGTCTTACACACTTACAGTTGCTTTTATTTACAAGAATCTCTTTTATCTCTTTTCAATGGTCTTGTATTTATACGGTTATTCAGTCCACACATAAAAAATAGTTCATCTGTGATATGAAATAGAATTCATTGACTCATACCATAATTCCACGTACACATTTCAGAAAAGTGAAATGACCAATAGCATCAATAACTAAATTGGATCAATAAATAATATATGTTAGTTTGCATAAAGGCCTGAAAAAATCTGGAAAAAGAAATACATGGTCAGCCCTTTTCAAAGATATTTCAGCTTCTTCTTTCAAAGAAATTCAGCTTCAATTTGCAACTTGAGATTTTTAATAGCTGTGAAACAGTTGAAATTCTTGATTACTTTAATAGAATTATAGCATAAATATAGCAAAATTTGTAATAACGACTCGAATGGCTAGGACAGTCAGAATCAATAGAACAACAAAATGAGTATAAAGCTCACCAAAAAAGTGAAACAAAAATCAATACAAATCCTCTTGGACTAAACAAATCCCTCAACAGCTCTGAAAACTTATAAAGCTAGATTGAACCAGCTCTTGCAGGGTGAAAGTAAAACATACTGACTTGCCCAAGTATAAAATATATTTAAGTTTGTCACCACTGTCTCATGATTAGTATAATTTGAAACCAATAAAATATTTCTGTTTGGAAGACCCAAACTAAAAATTAAGCAGTGTTTTGCAGCTTTCCTTAAAATGCTTAAACCAGGGATGACTAATCTTTTAAATAATGAGTGAAAAGTTTTGTCATATTTAATTAATTTGTTAGAGAACAGAACATTGCCAAATTGCTATGAAAGTATATACACACAGTTATTATGAATAAAGCAATTATTTTACAGATGACAGTAAGAAAAAATTGATTTTTTTAGGATATATACATATATATACACATACACACACACATACATACATATGTGCTAGAATCTCAGAGTCCAGAGGAAGTAGTTGTCCATCCCTCATAGCTGAAAAAGGGGAATTAGAGACATAGAAATAACTTGAAGCAGTTAATGAGAAAGAGAAAGATGGTCCCACAAAAAAATTGTTATCCTGGAGAAAGAAGGTATAGGGAAAATCAGCCAGTCTTCCCTATCGGGTCCTGGAACAGTTACTTTTTAGGACAACCAGAGGAAATCTGCCTTATTTTTTAGAAGATCTAGAGCAATACTTCAGATTACTAAACTAATCTGAAAAAGATCAAGATTTGGCAAGTGTCAAGACTTTTATCCTTTAAAAAAGTCTGATGAACTGGAGTTTTATCTCAGGCTTACATACAATGTTTCTCCTCCGCTCTGTGACCCCATTCCTAAGACAGAGCTGAGCAGCCTGATTTTTGATCATAACTATGCTTTCTGAAAGAGACTTCCCCGTAGCAGCCCAATGCAAACAGATGATTCCAAAGCAGAATCCAAGATCAATTTGAAAACCTAGTAGGAGAATGATAAAGCCAGGGCATAGACCTGAGGAGGCTTGTGAAATCACTGAACTTGCATAAGGGAGCTTACAGGCTCTTACAGGTATGAGAGACCTGAACACACAGCCCTCAGAATGAAAGTCTGTTAACCCTGTGTCTACAACAATAGGGTTGGGGAAGCTTGACCAGGAAATGGTCTGTCAGCCCTTAGGAATTTGGAAATAGAGCAAGGACTAGCCAAAGTTCGGAACCAAAGAAACTGAGAGATACACTAGGCCAAAATGCAAGTCCAAAGTCATGGCCAGAGGCCATGTCGAGGAATGGAAGACCCAGGAAGCAAGATACGCAACAAGCCAAGAGCCAGAGCATGAGCCAAAGCCCCTGATGACCTAATTGCTATTTACCCAGACATATACTTATTCTTGAAACAAGGAACAACAACTGCAACTAGGAAAAAGATAGAACCAAAATGTGTTTATTTTGTTTCCTAAAAAAGGAGTTAAGCTACGACATTTTCATGTTACTTCATTTATTAACAGCCCACAAATTGTCTCAGATCAGTTAACATAAATACGATTGAACTAATGATAGTATCATAGAATCGCTGAGGTTGGAAGGGACCTCTGGAGATCATGTAGTCCAACCCCCTTGCTCAAGCAGGGTCACCTAGACCAGGTTGCCCAAGACCATGTCCAGCTGAGTTTTAAGTATCTCCAAGGATAGAGACTCCACAGCCTCTCTGAGCAACCTGCTCCAGGGTTCAACTACCCTAACAGAAAAGAGTGTTTTCTTAGTGTCAAATTAATGTTACAAACTGGAGAGATGAAGCAAGAAACAGTAAGTCACAAATAGATACCTGTAACTGAACGACACACTGAGCCACTAAGAGATGCCTCCTACATATGACATGGGGGGAAAACATCACTTCAGGTCACGGATCCTTGTTCAGCTGAACTAGCTTATGGGGTTCTCAGTCACAGTGGTGACTGACATATTCCAGCTAGAGGGCTGATTGCCTAAGTAAAGTCTGACAGCTTGGCAGCTGACTAGTCTAAAAAAAATTAGACCGCAAGGGGAGGGAATACTTGTTTTTTATACCTGTGACAGAATTATATATAGAGAGATCAAAAATGGATAGAAAAGGTACCTGCACAGCCAATCCCTGTCATAAAGGTGTAGCAGGGAACCAAGAGCGCAGGGGATGGACAGGAGATGATAGCAGAGGCCTTGAAACTACAAGCACAGGATGATACCAGAAGCCCCAGGAGATCACAAGTGATCCACTGCAGGTTACTAAAGGAATGCAGCACTGAGAGCTGGATTACAGTTAGAAATAGTTTTGAGTCTTAAGAAAGAAAATGTTTTCAACCTACACAAAACATTCTATTTTGATGAGAACAGAGAGGGGAGAAAGATAAGAGAGAGTCACAGTCCTACAAGAATGATAACAAAGGACGAACAGAAAGAGAAGACCTGCTCCAGCACTGTCTCCCTTGTTAAGGATGCTGTGCCTGACCAGCATAGCTACCTATCCACAGCAGATCCTCCTTCTCCTGCACTAGAGCACTGCTTTTTGATATGCCATTCATCACATTTTGCTGCTGTAGATTCAACAACCAAATGTATCTTACTATATAATTGGATAAAATGAATGAGAATTTTGAAGACAGTGTATATATGTCTGTGTTTGTCTTTTTGTCTGGGTGTTTTCTGCTTCAGCCTTCCCACATACAAAAAAGTGATTCGTACCACAGCATCCAGTCTGAGTTAATTCACATGCAACAATGCGTATAGCTCTATATTGTCATACTGGCCCAAGTTTAAACTCATATTAACTCATAGCTCAAGTGAAGAGTGAGCCAACTGGCTTACCACAGTCTTCTGTTGTTTGACAGCAGTTTGCAATAACATGAAAAAGGATTTTTACCAGTGACTGAGCTGAAATAGTAGATACAGACCTATCCTACAGCTT